CAACGGCTGAATTGCACAAATAGTCCCATTTTTTCTTTTTTCTTTTTTAATTAACACCCCTTTGAAAACTATAAATACACCCCCCCCCCCCCTCCCTTCTTCTTCATTTCTTCACTCATCTCTCATTTCTCAATCTCAAATTCTCAATTCAAGTTAAATCATGCCTCGTACTTCTAGAGTGCGCTCATATGTTTGGGAACACTTTGAGGTGGTAGAAGAAAATGAAGAAGTTCAGAAAGTAAAGTGCAAGAACTGTGGTCGAGCCTTAAATCTTCGTCCAAAGTGTGGCACAGCCGCAGAGGCAGTTTAAGGAGGCATATGAAGAGTTGTCTTGAGCGTCCTCCAGAAATTCGTATTTAAGTTGATTTGAGACAATTTGTGTTATTTTAAAATTATTAGACGTATTTATGCTTAATGTTTTAGTTTGTTAGATTAATTTGAAGTATTATTATACATGAATTAGTTTTACTCTTTTTTCGTTAATTTACTTGTTAAATGCAAACTTCAATTTTGTAATTTTGAAATAAATGTAGCACTTGCAATTTATAAGTGCAATTTTTTCCCATCTTCATTATATTCTTTATATTTTTACATTATATTAATATAACTTACAATAGTTATACAAAATACAAAAAAAAAATTAAAAATTACACTAACCCCGCCCCTTGTACCCGTAACTCGTACGGTTCATTTTTTACCCGGATAAACCCGAACCCGGTAAGTCCCAACCCGTAACCGATCAGGTAGCCAACCTGTACGGTTACTAATTTTTCCTATCCAGCCCGACCCGGCCCGACCCACCCGTTAGACACCCATTATTATAAACTCCGATGGCCAGCAGTAGCGCCGCCAGTAAGGCTTGTGTTGACTTGACTCTTGAGCATCACAGGCTCCGTCCATATATAGCGGCGATAAGAGAGAATAATGTTAAAAAATGTGGAAGAAATACGCATCCGAAGATTTGGCTAATTTCACAGTCGTCGATGTTCATCTTAGAAAAATATCAAAAGTCTTATAAATAGAGTTTTATTTATGGTGAATGTCTATATTTAGAGAGATTCTAGGTTTATTACTTGATGGCTAAGTCATCATCTCCCTATAAATAGAGGGTTCTATTCCATTGTAATTCATCCCAAAATTCAATAAGAATTCCCTCTCTCTCTTTCTCTGCAATTTTATTCTTCTACTTTTGTTGTTTCATCACACGTTATCAGCACGAGGCTCTACCGTCTCAAGAAGCTCTTTGAGAAGATTAAGCAAATATGGATATCTCACAAAGCAAACTTGGATCAAAGTTCAATTGTAAAAATATTTGTTTAGTTGATTCATGTACGACACATACAATATTCAAAGAGAAGAAATATTTCTCTCATTTAAGTATGTGTAAGGCAGATGTTACTACAATTTCTGGTAGTAGTAAATTAATTAAAGGCTTTGGAAGAGCTACTATAACTCTGCCTAAGGGAACAATACTTATCATAGAGAATGCAATGTTCTCCTCCAAGTCCAAGAGGAACTTGTTGAGTTTTAAAGATATCCGCCGAAATAGATATCATATTGAGACAGTAGATGAGAATAATCTTGAATATCTCATTATTACCAAAAATGTCTCTGGCCAGAAAAGGGCTATTGAGAAGTTCCCATCTTTATCTTATGGCCTGTATTGGACAAGAAGTAGTGCAATTGAAGCATATTCTATTGTAAACCAAAAGGTTACTGATTCCAATACTTTTGTACTTTGGCATGATCGATTGGGACATCCTCGATCAATTATGATAAGACGGATTATAGAAAACTCAAATGGGCATCCATTAAAGAATTTAAAGATTCTTTTAAATAATGAATTTTCTTGCACTTCTTGTTATCAAGACAAGTTAATTATTAGACCATCACCAACAAAGGTTGAATTGAGTCCCCTGCGTTTTTGGAACGTATACAAGGGGACATTTGTGGACCTATTCATCCACCTAGTGGGTCGTTTAGATATTTTATGGTATTAATAGACGCATCTTCTAGATGGTTCCATGTGTGCCTATTGTCATCACGCAACCTCGCATTTGCAAAATTAATGGCACAAATAATTCGATTACGGGCGCAATTCCCCGATAATCCAATTAAGTCTATTAGACTTGATAATGCTGTTGAGTTTTTATCCCAAGCATTTAATGATTATTGCTTATCAATTGGGATAAAAGTGGAACATCCTGTAGCTCATGTTCACACTCAAAATGGCCTTGCAAAGTCTTTAATTAAACGTCTGCAATTGATAGCAAGACCGTTACTCATGAAAACGAGGTTACCCACTTCTGTTTGGGGTCACGCCATTTTGCATGCAGCAATGCTAGTTCGTCTCAGACCGACAAATTATCATAAATATTCCCCGTTACAATTAGTTTTGGGTCATGAACCTAATATATCCCATTTAAGAATTTTTGGATGCGCGGTATATGTGCCTGTAGTACCACCATATCGCACCAAAATAGGTCCGCAAAGAAGGTTAGGAATATATGTTGGTTTTGAATCGCCCTCCATTATTCGCTACCTCGAAACATTGACAGGAGATTTGTTTACTGCACGATTTGCAGACTGTCGATTCGATGAGACACTCTTCCCAAAATTAGGGGGAGAAGTTGGTGAAACCAAACGGGAAATTTTGTGGAAAAATCCATCATTATCTCATCTTGATCCACGTGCCTCTATTTGTGAAAAAGAGGTGCAAAAGATTATCCATTTGCAGAGAATAACAAATCAAATGCCAGACGCATTTACGGATTTGAAAAGGATAAGAAAATCACATATCCCTGCGGAGAATGTTCCAATCCGTATTGATGTCCCTATTGGACAATCTTCTAGTGTCATAGCTAATGAGTCAAAAGCACGCCTAAAACGTGGCAGACCATTAGGTTCCAAAGATCGAAATCCTAGAAAAAGGAAAACAAATGATCAAAGTGACACTACGAAAGAATCTCATGAAGAAATCCACGATTTAATAAATTCTGAGATTCATGAGGAATCCACTGAGCCCGAGGCTCAAGAAAATAAGGAACTATCAATAAATCCAATCGATATTGAGACAAATTTGAATCGAGTGGATATAGTGGTGGATTATGTCTTTGCATATAATGTTGCATCTGGCATTATGCAAGAAAGTGAGGATCTTGAACCTCAGTCTGTTGGAGAATGTCGACAAAGACGTGATTGGCCAAAATGGCAAGAAGCAATCCAATCAGAGTTGAACTCACTTGCGAAACGTGAAGTTTTTGGGCCTGTAGTCCAAACACCTAATGGTGTTAAGCCTGTTGGCTATAAATGGGTCTTTGTACGCAAGAGAAATGAGAAAAACGAGGTACAAAGATATAAGGCACGCCTTGTTGCACAAGGATTTTCACAAAGGCCTGGTGTCGATTATGAAGAGACATATTCACCCGTTATGGATGCTATAACGTTCCGTTATCTCATTAGTTTTGCTGTCCATGAAAAGCTTGACATGCATTTAATGGATGTGGTTACCGCCTACCTTTATGGCTCACTTGATAATGAGATATACATGAAAATTCCCGATGGATTTAAAATGCCTAAACGCACATAATTCAAAGTCCCGGGAAATATTTTCAATCAAATTGCAAAGATCTTTGTATGGTCTAAAGCAATCAGGACGAATGTGGTATAATCGTCTTAGTGAGTATTTATTAAAGGAAGGCTATATAAATGATGCCATTTTCCCATGTGTTTTTATAAAGAAAACAACATCGGAATTTGTTGTACTTGCCGTATATGTTGATGACATAAACCTTATTGGAACTCCTATAGAACTCCAAAAGGCAATTGATTATTTAAAGAAGGAATTCGAGATGAAAGATCTCGGAAAGACAAAATTATGTCTTGGTTTGCAAATTGAACATTTGGCAAACGGAATTTTTGTTCATCAATCTGCCTACATAGAAAAGGTATTGAAACGGTTTTACATGGATGGAGCACATCCATTAAGTACTCCGATGGTTGTTCGATCACTTGATGTGAATAAGGATCCATTCCGACCTCAAGAAGAGAATGAAGAGCTACTTGGTCCTGAAGTACCATATCTTAGTGCAATTGATGCACTAATGTATCTTGCCAATACTACAAGGCCTGACATAACTTTTTCAGTTAATGTCTTAGCAAGATATAGCTCTGCTCCCACAAAGAGACATTGGAATGAATCAAACACATATTGCGGTATCTAAAAGGAACTACCGATATGGGCTTATTATATGGCAATAATTGCAGTCCTGATCTTGTTGGTTATGCCGATGCTGGGTATCTATCCGATCCACACAAGGCTCGATCTCAAACAGGTTATTTGTTTACCTGTGGAGGCACTGCCATATCTTGGCGATCGACTAAGCAATCAATTGTGGCTACTTCATCTAATCATGCTGAGATAATTGCTATTCATGAAGCAAGTCGAGAGTGTGTGTGGTTGAGGTCTATAATACATCTTATTCGAGACAAATGTGGTTTGAAATGTGACAAACTACCCACGATTTTGTATGAAGACAATGCAGCATGCATAGCTCAATTGAAGGGAGGATTCATAAAAGGAGATAGGACAAAGCACATTTCACCAAAGTTATTCTTCACACATGATCTTCAAAAGAATGGTGATATCAATGTGCAACAGATTCGTTCAAGTGATAATATGGCTGATTTGTTCACAAAATCTCTACCAACGTCAACCTTCAAGAAGCTAGTGTACAAGATCGGGATGCGAAGGCTCAAGGATGTGAATTGATGCTCTCATCAGGGGGAGTTAATGCGCGTTGCACTCTTTTTTCCTTACAAGGTTTTGTCCCACTGGGTTTTCCTTGCAATGTTTTTAACGAGGCAACCAAAGGGCGTATTATTAGATATGTGTACTCTTTTTCCTTTTCTAGAATTTTTTTTCCCATTGAGTTTTTTTTAGTTAAGGTTTTAACGAGGCACATTATCTGTTGAATAGACATTCAAGGGGGAGTGTTATAAATAGAGTTCTATTTATGGTGAATGTCTATATTTAGAGAGATTCTAGGGTTTATTACTTGGTGGCTAAGTCACCATCTCCCTATAAATAGAGGGTTCTATTCCATTGTAATTCATCCCAAAATTCAATAAGAATTCCCTCTCTCTTTCTCTGCAATTTTATTCTTCTACTTTTATTGTTTCTCACAAAAAGCTCATTTAATACAATGTATTTGATCAAGTCTTTCTGGAATTAAAAAAATTAGGTCTGCGACACAACTCACTTCCGTTTTTTAATTATATATGATGGTCGGTATTAGTTTTCAAATAAATTTTTCCTTCATAATTCAATCATTTTTTAATATTCTAGCATTATCTTGGCCATTTTTATCGTTGAAAACGTTTGAATCTTTCAAAGAGCTAATTTTCTTTCTACTCTGAACTCACATTTAATTTAAAAACCAGAGTCTTTTACATTGTTGATGGAATTAAAAATAAACAAGTTGACCCAATAGTAATGCTGATTAATCTTAGTTTATTTCAAGATCTTAATTAAATTAGTAAACAAACTAATAGGTTCCTGCAAAGTCAGATTGGATCTTCACGACCTTTTTTTTTTTTTTTTGTCACTTGTCCATGACCCATATACGCATTAACCCCACTTGTAAAGTTACACTGGGTTTGTTGTTGTTATTGTTGTTGGCCAGAACTCATCAACCAGGCTTAGTTCCTATCTCCTTAGAACTCAAGGATACAGTGATACGATCCTATAGAGCAGATCTTGTTCAAGTAAGGTCGCTTCCACGACCTACTTTATACATAAATTAAACAACTAATAATTGTACAACTCATGTTTTGTTATCAGAATGAGAAAAAAAACATGTCTTTAAATAAATTTTGGACATGCCAGCCCAGAAAATCGTTTACTTTTCAAGGTTTTGATTATATTCATGAGCTGCACGTTAATGGAAATCTCAGCAAAAGGGTGATCATGTTGAAATTTTTGCCTATAAGAACTGTCTGAAGATCCCATGAAAGTACTCACAGCTTATAAACCTTTTTTGTCTTCAAAAAATTTCCTTTGGGAATGGATTTGAGAGATAATAATTCAGCTAAAATCAGATTAAGTGATGGGAGATACTTGGCCTATAAAGAGAGAGGTGTTCCAAAGGAGAAATCCAATTATAGAATTATATTTGTTCATGGATTTGACGGCCGCAAAGAAAGGGATTTTCTTGCACCTCAGGTATATATTCTGTCTTTCCACTAAACAAGATGAATAGAACTTAAAATTCATTAGATATTTTTTTTTTTTTTTTATGAATGTCAACTAAGTAACTTAAGTAAATCGCTCCTGCTTGTTCAATCATTTGATAGCTAAAATTATTCTTTAATAAATGATCATTATGAGTCAAACTTAATAGAATTTGATCAATCATATTTTTTATTTTTAAGGTGGATTAAGTTTATTTTGTCCCTGTACATGTGCTTGGAGTGACGACAGTAGTGAAAATATAATAGAGATATATTTTTAAGGGTTTTAGAAATTTTCATTTAAACTATGAATATTCTCCTCTAATCTACTATAATATATATGGACATATGAGAAAAAATGGATGCGAAGGGGATATCGATGATTTAGAGCGCATTTTTTTTTTGTTTTAAGGTTGAATGTTACAACAAACTATACTTGCCACCAAGTGCGCGGTGAGATAGATAAGATTCCTCCACTTTTCACAAGAGTTTTTGGTTAATTAAGGAGCGCTTTCTATGTCAATGAGTCTTAGCGTTAGCTCGAATTAGTCACACTAGTAGGCATTGGAACAATATATACTTACATGTTGTCATATATATATATATATATATATATATATATATATATTGATTAAATACGTTTTGGAAAATGAGTTAATTAGGATGTAGTTGTTGATTCTTGAAATAATGATCAGGAAGTGATGAAGAAGATGGGGATATATATAGTTCAATACGATAGAGCTGGATATGGGGAAAGTGATCCAAACCCAAAACGATCCCTAAGGAGTGAAGCATCTGACATTGAGGAATTGGCTGATAACTTACATTTAGGATCAAAATTCTATATTATTTGTAGCTCAATGGGATGTTACCCAACTTGGAGTTGCATCAAACACACTCCCCACAGGTAACATCAACTCTTTTGCATTCTTAACTAGAGGATTCACGAAATTCAAGAATATGTCATGAAAACGAAAGCGTTTGCCGTGCCGTTCGAAAGATTTAGTAGGCGTTTGAACATAAAAATTGTAACTTTTGGAAGAAAAAAAAATAGTAATTGGAGTTAAGTTGAAAATTGATATTTGGACATGTATTTCACTTTAAAAAATATTGCAGTTTCGTGGGGAAAAATTTATTTTGAAAATTTTGAATTTGAAAAACTTATTTTCGATTTTTTTTTTCTTTCAAAAACTTGCAAAATTTCATGGACAAACACATTTTTGAAATTTGAATTTGAGGAAAAAAGGAAAAAGAAAATTATGGACAAACTTGCAAATAGTTTTACTTTGTAACACTAACTTCATTTTTCTATAATATAAAACAAATTTTTTTCCTTTTAATGTTACAGGTTAGCAGGGGTAGCGTTTGTTGTTCCCATTGTAAATTACCAATGGCCATCCCTTCCTCACAATCTCACAAAGGATGATCAAAGGAAGAAAGACTATTGGTGGATGACTATGACTGCTAAATATGTTCCTAAATTACTACAGTGGTGGGCCATTCGAAAAACTTCTTCTACCAAAGATCCAAAAACTACATACTTTACTTCCAAGGATTTAGAGATTATAAAGAATATACCAGGATTTCAGGGTTTTAGTCCGGTAAAAATTAATTCGCAGTTATCTCAATGTTTTCTGTACTAGTTTTTATATGTCTAAATTGTCTTTTACATTGTGAACGGGAACCTTGGAGCAACAATAAAGTTGTCACGGGTTCGAGCCGTGTAAGCAGCCACTAATGCCTGCATTAGGTTAGGCCCCTGCGTGAATGCGGGATGCTTTGTTCATCGGGCTGCCTTTTTAATGCCAAATTGGACTTAGATACATAAATCCTCTTAAATATAACTTCTGGAGAGTAATTAATGTGAGATTTTCTACTTGCCATGGTACAGGAAAAACTAAGGAAGAGAAGTATTTTCAACAACCTTTGCAGTGATTTAGTTGTGGCTTTTAGTAGGTGGGATTTTGATCCTTTGGTGCTAAGCAATCCTTTTCCTGAAAATGGTCAGAGTTGTGTTCACATTTGGCAAGGCAGTGAGGATAAAGTTACTAATCTGAAACTACAAAGGCATATTGCAGAAAGGTTACCTTGGATTCAATATCATGAAGTTCCTAATAATGGACATCTATTGATCTATGACACTACTGTTTGTGAAGCCATTTTAAGGTCTCTTTTGATTGGAGAAACTCCACCATCTTATTCAACAAACTCATAGTTTATAGTCATCACTCTCACATGACCAAGAGGTCACGGGTTCAAGCCGTGGAAACAGCCTCTTGCAGAAATGCAGGGTAAGACTGCGTACTATAGGCCCTTGTGCTCCAGTCCTTCCCCGGACCCCGCGCATAGCGGGAGCTTAGTGCACCGGGCTGCCTTTTTTACTGTCACATAACAATGTTCAGATGTTACATATTGAATTTCATTTTATTTATTTTTGCCCTTTTTGTACTTATTGGATGATGTATTTCATAATGTGACATGTTGCAAAAAAAAAAATTAAAACAAAACACTGTTATTAGCATATAATAGCACTTCAAAGCCAGTGTTCCTATAGCATGATACCAACATCTGTGATAATGTTCCTTCCTAATGCACCTAAAACATGTCAACTGTTTTACAGAACAACCAGAAATTGAACACAATAATCTAAGAGCAAAAGCTCAAGGGTAAATAAGAGAGCCTTAGTTGAAACAGTAGATAATGATAAACTTTTACCTCAGATTTATTACAAAAGCTAATGAAGTTCACAATTATCAGTTAAGTTGCTAATCAAACGTTTGCTCATGGTAGTTACCGTCTTACTCGCAGATACATGATCGATGCTAAATTTACATCATACAGTTTCACTCAACTAGTCAAAAGTTTCCTCAAGATGGTTTCACAAAAATTAGCATTGTAAATTAACAAATGTCCAGCATTAGGAACCTCGTGATATTGAATCCACGGAAGCTTCTCTGCTAGATAACGGTTGAGTTCACGTGGGATAATTCTGTCATCGTGTCCTTGCCAAAGATGGACAGAACCTTCGTTATTTGGAAAAGGATTTGTAATCTCCGTTGGAGCAAAGTCCCAGTTTCCAAAAGCTATTATCATGTCCCGATACAAACATTCAAACTCGCCCTGCTGTCGAACTTTTTCCTGGAGAAAAACATAGTGTTCCATTATTATGACTACCTTAACAGTAAGCAAATAGCTAGTACAGCATTAGATGTCTTCCTCACTTATTTCATCAACAACGTCATCCGTTAAGAATAGACTAGAGAAAAGATAGCGTTGTGAGGGTTTCTGTCAATGGAAGAGAACAGGCAACCAAAGACCACATCTTGATATGATCTCATTGAAATGTTTATTTGGCTAGATATTTAAAAACTTTGCTGATATTTTCATATCATCGTGATGTTTCTTGAAGGGAAGGAACACAACGGCTTCCCAAATAGGAAACAGCATGATGTTTCTTGTTTACTCTTGGCATAAGTATTGGGATCCCTACATCTGTAGATGACGTCTTTCCTAGAAAGGACTAAGTTTATATAGCTCCCTTTGCTTTGTATACTTCTTATATAACGGGGAAATCCTCTTTATTTAATTAATATAATCTTCTCTCTCATCAAAAACTAAAGTGAGAATCATTTACCTGACCAGGACTAGGGGCATCTGATAACTGTTTCACTATTTCTAGATCTGGAGGACTAAATATGGCCATATTCCCTTCCGTAATACTTAAAGCGCGGAACCACTTTTGGTTCATCCACCAATGAACCAGCCATGGGGCATAATGCACAATTCGAAATGCCCGCTGATCTTGAGCAAGCATCTTTCCCAAAGCTTGTTTCGATAGTTTTGCAGGATAACAGGACCACCAGTAATTTACAAATGGAACAACAAGGGCAACTCCAGCCAGCCTGCGTGGACATTCAATTTGTCGAATAAAAGGACTGAAAATGGAAGTTCTCCGAGTTTCTAATTTTTAAAAATATGAAAATCAAAGGAATGTAAAAAGATGAAAATGATACCTATGCGGTATATACTTTAGGCAACTCCATAGAAGATAGGCTCCCATGGACAAGCCAAGCACATAGAACTTGGGTCCTAGTTGCAACTTATCAGCTAGCTCCTCAATGTCAAATGCTTCACTCTTTACTGAGCGCTTTGGATGTGGATCACTCTCTCCATAACCAGCACGATCATATTGTAGGAGATATATTTGGAGCTCTTGTATGAGGTCCTGGGTACTTAAAACAGAATCAGCAAAATGAAACACAAAGTTCAAGCACCAAAGGTTTATTAAAGACGATCTCCAATTCTAAGTGAAACTTTGGACACAGAAAAGGCATACTTTATTCATAGAATTGTACAGTATTTATAGGACAATAGGTACAATCAAAGCAGCTAATCAATCCCTAATTCTTAGGAGATCCTTCAATCAAGGGATTACATCTAAACTAGTTTCCTAGAATAAATTCTGACAAATTTTCCTAAATATCTACTGTACCATATTTACAGAAGCAAACTATAATCAAATTTGCGAGCACATCAAGGAGCAGATTATGATCAATCTGCCAGCTCATTCAACACTCCCCCTCAAGTTGGCATGTAAATATCGAACATGCCTAACTTGGTGACAACAAACTCAAAAGTAGTTCTAAAAAGACCTTTTGTGAAAATATCTGCAACTTGTTCAGTTGTTGGAACAAAAGGCACGCACACGCTTCCATCTTCAATCTTCTCTTTAATAAAGTGTCTGTCCACTTCGACATGCTTTGTTCTATCATGTTGAACTGGATTATGGGCAATGCTTATGGCAGCCTTATTGTCACAGTACAACTTCATTGGCAAACTCATAGGTCTTCTTAGTTCTTCCAAAAGTCTCTTGAGCCACAACATTTCGCAAATTCCGTGTGCCATGGATCGATACTCAGCCTCGGCACTACTTCGAGCCACCACATTTTGCTTCTTACTTCTCTATGTTACCAAATTTCCCCAAACAAATGTACAATATCCAGATGTAGAACTTCTATCAGTAGATGACCCAGCCCAGTCCACATCAGTATAAGCCTGAACACTTCTTTGCTCCTTCTTCTGGAAGAACAACCCTTTCCCAGGAGAGCTCTTTAGATACCTTAGGATTCGATACACAACTTCTTGATGTTCTTCCTGCGGAGAATGCATAAACTGGCTGACTAGGCTCACAACAAAGGCAATATCAGGTCCAGTATGAGACAAGTAAATCAACTTGCCTACCAATCTCTGATATTGGCATTTATCAATCAATTTCCCTTCCTTATTTCCAAACTTTAGATTTGGGTCAATTGGAGTTTCGGCCGGTCTACAACCACTCATTCCTGTTTCTTGTAACAAATCAAGTACATACTTTCGTTGTGACACTACAATTCCTTTCCTCGATCGGGCAACCTCCATGCCAAGAAAGTACTTCAGCGGGCCTAAATCTTTTATCTCAAATTCTGAGGCAAGGTGCTCCTTCAGATTCTTTATTTCAACCATGTCATCTCCTGTAAGGATGATATCGTCGACATACACTATAAGAACTGTTGTTTTTCCTTCTAGTGAATGTCAGGTAAACATTGTGTGATCTGCTTGTCCTTGCACATACCCTTGCTTCTTCACGAATTGAGTAAACCTTTCGAACCAAGCCCGTGGAGACTGTTTTAGACCGTAAAGAGATCTTCGGAGTCTACATACCTTCGACTTATACTTTCCTTCAAAACCTGGTAGAGGATCCCTATAGACTTCTTCCTCTAGTTGCCATTCAAGAAAGCATTCTTCACATCCAACTGTTGAAGAGGCCAGTCAAGATTTACCACGATTGTCAAGAGGACTCTAATTGAATTTAGCTTAGCTACTGGAGCAAACATCTCCAAATAGTCAACGCCATATGTTTGCGTGAATCCCTTAGCTACTAGGCGGGACTTATACCTCTCCAAAGATCCATATGCTCTGAATTTGGTGGTGAACACCCACTTGCAACCCACTGGTTTCTTTCCCTTTGGTAGATCCACCAATTCCCATGTCCCATTCTTTTCAAGAGCTCGCATTTCTTCCAAAATAGCCTCCTTCCACTCTGGAACTCATAGAGCATCCTGCACATTTTTTGGAATCTCCACAATAGAAAGTTGTGAGATGAAGGCGGAATACTTGGGAGATAACTTTTCATAGGACAGAAACATAGAAATAGGATGTTTAAGAGTATTTCTGACACCTTTGCGTTTTGCAATGGGAAGATCCAAATCTGAGAAGGAATTAAAATTAGACTTTGTTGGAAGATTACTTTGAATTCCAGTGAGGCCTTGTGGATCAGACTTTTGATAGTGTTGAGAATCTTCAGTCTTTTTACCTTGATTTCGGTTCCTCCTCGAATATACCTTTTATTTATTTTGTTTGTTCTCTGCTTCCATTTGTGTCATTTAAAGGCTCTACAGGTTCAATATCAGGATTTTTATTATTTAAGTCAATTAGATATCCCTCATCTCTCGAATCACAGTTCTTTCCATCTCTTGGATCACATTTATTTATATTTTCTCCTAGATCCCTCACATCAGTACTTATTGTAAAATCTAGTCCTTTATCTGTGAGATGTCTAGTTTCCCCAATATCCCAAAAAGATAAATCTTTACTTGCATGATACCCCCCTGAAGATGAGTAGTAAAATAAAATTGTGACTCAAAGAAAGTTACATCCATTGTGACAATTATCTTCCTAGTGTGTGGATCGTAGCACTTATATCCCTTTTGACTTGGAGCATATCCTACAAAAATACACTTCTTAGCTCGTGGTTCGAGTTTACTACGAATATGAGGATGAATATGAACAAATGTCATACACCCAAAAACCTTCAAAGGCAAATCTGTACTCAACCTAGAACTAGGAAAACTCTCTCTGAAAACACTAAAAGGTGTTTTAAATTTCAGAATCCTAGATGGCATCCTATTAATAAGGTAAGTAGCAGTCAAGAGAGCCTCTCCCCAAAGGTACTGTGGAACTCTACTAGTAAACATTAAAGCTCTAGTTACCTCTAAAAGGTGCCTATTCTTCCTTTCTGCGATGCCATTTTGTTGAGGAGTATCTGGACAAGAGCTTTGGTGCACTACTCCAGTTTTTCTGAAAAAACTTCCTAATTGTTCATTAAAAAATTCACGACCATTATCACTTCGGAATATCTTGATTTTCTCATTAAACTGTGTTTCCACCATGACATAGAAAGTTTCAAACACATTCTTAACCTCACTTTTGTCCTTTAATAAATAAACCCAACTTAGTCTAGTATGATCATCAATGAAAGTTATAAACCATCGTTTTCCGAATATTGTTGAAATCCTAGACGGTCCCCAAACATTACTATGAATCATCATAAAAGGTTTTGAAGATTGATACTTTTTAGAAGGAAAAAAAGATCGGTGATGCTTAGCCATTTCACAGAATTCACATTGGAACAAGGACGGATTTTTATTACCAAATATTTCAGGTAACAAATGTCTTAAATAATAAAAACTAGGATGTCCAAGCCTATAGTGCCAAAGCATGACTTTATTCAAAACAGAAGTAGAGTTCAAACAAATAGGATTCAATTGTTGCGAGTTGTCCCCCTTATCAAGGAAATAAAGACCTCCAGATTCTCTAGCACTGCCAATCATCTTCCCCAAGACCTTGTCCTGAAATTCACATAGTCAGAGTCTAATATAGCACGACAATTCAAAGAACGGGTTAATTTACTGACAGAAATTAGATTGTAGGAGAGTTTCAGAACATGAAGGATATCATGAAGTGTGAGAGATGGTGATAGTTTAACAGTTCCTTTTCCAGCGATTGCTGAGAAGGAACCATCAGCTATCTTGATTTTGTTATTCCCTGCACAAGGAGTGTAAGTAGAGAAAAAATCGGAACTTCCTGTCATGTGATCACTAGCTCCTGAATCTATGATCCATGAATCTATTTGGTTGAAGTTGGCACTAAGAAACACAGATGGTACATTACCTGTTTGAGCAAAAGAACAAGAAGGATTAGAAGGATCTGGTCCACCAGATCGGAATTGTGGAGATTGAAGGAGTTTGTGCAGAAGTTCCAGTTGTTCCCTTGTGAATGGAGACGTTTCTGGAGTAGGTTGCTGCCCCTGATCAAAATAGGTTGTTTGGAGGGCCTGACCATGTTGAGATTGGAAGCCCCGATTGTCAACTCCTTTTTTCTTCCGGTTTGGTGGTTTCCCATGAATCTTCCAACATGTTTCACGGGTATGCCAGTGTTTTTTGCAATGATCGCACCATGGCTTTTTCCTTTTATAATCTTCATTTTTCACTGTTGCAAGTGCTGAAGCATCTACAACAGGTTTTAGTTCAAGGTTCAAATCAGATTTTAACATAACTTTCCTCCTAGTTTCCTCTCTCCTAATTTCAGAAAAGGTTTCACGAAGTGAAGGCAGAGGGTTTTTTCCTAGGATTCATGACCTGACCTCATCAAACTCCCGATTTAATCCTGCTAAAAAAAGGTAAACTCTCTCATTTTCTTCCCTTTTTCTTGTTTTCACACTATCGGCAGGGCACTCCCATTCATCATTGTAACACTGATCTAACTCCTGCCATAGAGATACCATTTCATTATAAAAATAGTTACTTCCCTTTCACCCTGCTTAGCTTGCCAAAGTTTAATTTTTATTTCAAATATCTGAGAAGCATTTTCTATATCAGAATATGTCTCCCTAACGGCTTCCCACACATCCGTAGCATTGGGTAGAAAAAGATAAAATTTACCTATGATTGGATCCATGGAATTTATTAGCCGGGCAATCACGAGTGAGTTCTCTGATCTCCAGGCATTCATCTTTGGGTCTCCGACTTTCGGCTTTTTCGTCTCTCTAGTCAGATGTCCCAGTTTTCCACTGCCATCGATTGCAAGCTTTACGGACTGTGCCCATTCCAGATAGTTCTTCCCGTTTAATCGATGAGAAGTTAGTTGGAAGGACATGTGAGAGGAATCGCCTCCTTGTGTCACCATTTTTTCTGCCAGAGCTTCAAGAGAAGGACTTTCGGCTTCTGTTGATGTTGCAGAGTGGCGCTCTCCGTGAAAGGCTGTTTTGGCCATAAGGTATTAGGGAGGAAAGTCCCGCTCTGATACCATGAAACTTTGAACACATAAAAGGCATACTTTATTCATAGAATTGTACAGTATTTATAGGACAATAGGTACAATCAAAGCAGCTAATCAATCCCTAATTCTTAGGAGATCCTTCAATTAAGGGATTACATCTAAACTAGTTTCCTAGAATAAATTCTGACAAATTTTCCTAAATATCTACTGTACCATATTTACAGAAGCAAATTATGATCAAATCTGCCAACACATCAAGGAGCAGATTTTGATCAATCTATCAAATCTGCCAGCACATCAAGGAGCAGATTTTGATCAATCTGCCAGCTCATTCAACACTAAGAATAGAGAGAAAAACCATATTGACGTTTCAAATCCAAATCCCATCAGAAGTTTATAAGTTTCTCCATCTTCTCAACATGAGGTATAAGAGATAATAGATGAACTGCTTCTTCCCATACGTAATAGCTACTAAAATGAAGATGCTAATATTCAGTTTTATAAACTTTCATCTGCTAAGTTTCATATATACCTGAGAAATAGGTAACTTCAAGTCTTTAGAACTATCAAAGCCATGAACAATAATGATCTTGTACTTTGCCTTCTCCTTGGCAATGCCTTCCTCTTTGTATGCTAAATATCTCCCATCACTGAGTTGGACCCTTGGCGAGGTCACTAGAGGACCACCCGGTGAGCCACAAACTTTTGGAGGAGGAGGCTTAAGTAATGCCAAATAAGCCCATCCCAACACTCCAACTATTGTTGCTACTGCTATTTGTGCAATCATAACTGAAAAGAAGAGGGATAAATAAGAAAATAGAGGAATGAGGTGCAGAACTAATGTAGACAAAAAATGGTCGTAATACTAATGAGGAGACTCAAATAAGTTGACACTGGAATAGTGATAACACATGACAGGTAATGGCCACTGCTCCCCTACTATCATTCTTAGCATAACCACAGCCAATCATCTATCTTAATATAGCCAAATGACGAGTCACAGAAATGTGAATTCATAAACTTTAATTTGTGCCTCACTCATCTATTGACTTGGCCGTCAAAGACATTCTGCCAAAAACATCCTAGGTATCTTTTGCTTGCACGATGCACATAACTTACTAGAAATCCAAGACAAGCCCGTCTAACCCAATGCATATTCATCTGGACAGAAGGAACGTGTTTTATGAACACTATTCGACAGTAGAACTCATATTTCTAATCAACCTTTGCAAAGCACTTGTGGTAAAAAGTTATACAGAAAGAATAGATATGAGGAAGGTGCATAGTAGGTAGAAAGGAGACAACTGGAGTTTCAGTGTAAGGCATCAAAAATGGACCCCAAAAAAAGACAATATGCAACTTTGATGACGGATCATTGTGTTCACAGTCATGCTCGAGAAACTTAGCAGATATACTTCAAATGCTCTGCATCTTACAGTATCCTGCTACAATAACAAATACTAATAATACATCACCGGTCCTAATGAAACCTGCAATTCAACCGAGATACCAAGTTTCTCATCAAAAACAATTCCTCACTCTATGTTCTACAAGTACAACAAAAGGCAAACATCAGAACATCCTAGGTTTTGGTGTGATATAAAAACTGAGCTTCAAATTCCAATAGGCCACACAATGGCTTTCCTTCCTTTTCTTCTATTTATTTTTATTTTTTATGATGGTAGTGCCTCGGCCAGTAAGATCATTATTCCGGAGGAGTTTATCTTACAGACATTCACAGTAATTACAGGTAGACATCCTTTGTACCTGAGTTGTGGAAAAGTATCCTTCATTGAGAACAACGATGAATCACAACAATTAGCAAGGAATTGAGAATTCATATTCTCCTGCACCTATTTCATATTTTATTAAAGATTAGATAACAGAGAAAGGGTCAAATGACCCCAAAAAGGAGATGTTAAGGACTAGCATAGTTGTCTACAGTTTTACATGCTATTGCTTATTTGCTATAAATCTCATTGCCACTTGGCAACATAGATCAAGTCAACAGAAGAACTCTATGCATTCTACAGCCCTTTCTAAACTACTACTAAAGGTTTTAAATGATTAACTGCAACCGAGGGATGGCCATGGGAGCCTACACATTTTGTTACCACAAATGGAGTTCGAAACCTATTGGAGCTTTATATTTCTAACAATTGTTCAGTATGTGGATACTCTCTATCCCTTTTGGGGTAGGGGTAAGGTTTGCGTACATTCTACCCTCCCCAGACCCCACTGGTGGGATTTTACTGGGTTGTTGTTGTTGTTTGTTCAGTATGTGGATGCATTTAGAATTACACAACTTTCCACCTCCCCTCTTTCGCTAGTCTTTCTTGTCACTTATTTTCCATGTCTGCCAAATCTGCGAAAGGAAAAGGTTAAATCTTAGGCTTTTTCAAAAGGAAGTCTGAGGTTACTTTTCCTCGACATTTTTACTTTTTAACTCCTAGCTGTAAACTGTGTTTGAGTCACTGCTTGACATTGATATATTCAATGGAAATTGGGCTTAACTCTAAACCATCTGGAACCGAATGTCCAAATGCACAATTAAAGGATTCAATGCGGATGGAATGGATCTTAAATCTAGTCCCGAACTGCAAGGGCTGAATCTGTTGTAAATAGAGATAAAATTAACCCAATAATCAATAAGCCGAGGACTTATGAATTAATAGTCAAGAAAGCACATTGATCATTAGTTCTGCATCTAAGCAAATTGTTCATTCATTTCAGAATATATATAGTACACAAGCAGAATATTCTTTTCATTTCTCCAAAGCAGCATAGTGAAAGCTAATACTCCATCATGTTAGTAGCAACTAAAAAAGTACAAAAATCAGCTGAAAAGGTGTAACACAACACTTAAGATTGAAATCAGCAGACCAATCCCAAATTTCAATGATTCAAGAAAACAACAACAAAAGAAGGCAAAAATTGTTGAAAAAAAAAGATCAAATTTTGAAAGGAAACCCACTTGAAGAAAGATAAAATGTGGTGTTATTCTGGTGTGAGCTCTAGCAGATGCAGCTGTTACTTTTTTACCACTTTGATTTACAGCCATTAGAACAAAGTATTATTATATGTATAAATGAGAGAATGAGCAGTGGGTAATTCTGTGGAAGGAATTATGCTGCCAATCCACTTCAAAAGAGCAGTAAAATAAAACACTTGAAGAGGAGGAAGAGCCCACAAGGATTAATAACAGTACAGTACTATGTCACCATCTAATCTACTACTACTATATGAGAATGTCAAGTTACGACGGCATTGTTGTCTTGATTTTATTTGATGTTGTCTTGTCCAAATGGAGAATGAATTTTTCACCCAAATACCGAACTTTTTTTTTTTGGGCAAGTAGGCCCTTCGGGTACCACTCTGTGTGCATGGAGTAAACCCATGTGCAATAGCCTGCAAATCACACAGGGATGTAAACCGTAATCAACTAGGCATCCCCGAAGGGATTGACCGAACCTTATTAAAGCCTACCTATTATGTTTGTGATTTAAGGATTGTTTGGTTGGGAAATAAGTATTTCAGGATTAATTTATCTCATAATTAGTTATTTTGAGATTAATTATTCCAGGATTGTTATCCCACCCGTTCATGGGGATAAAAATAACACTATAATCCCGGGATAGTTAATCCAGAGAATAGTTATATTGTAATTTTATCTTAACTGAACGTGGAATAAACTCATCTCAAATTTAATTCAAAATTAATTATTCTTATCCCTCGTACCAAACAAGCCCTTAAGAGAAAGACTTTTGACACATTTCATGATATTTTAATAATTATAAAAGTATGTTAAATTGCTTATGGAGTCTAATAAGTGGCGGGGCTAAAGGGATACTACAAAAATAGGATAAAAATAAATTTTTTGGCTATATGTGAAATGTTGAAAAAGTCTTAGGGTAATGGTAACTTGGTATTAAAAAATTGCCTTAGGTTATATGTTTTAGTACTTTTCTGAATCCCTTGTTTGAATCTGCTCTGCCGTTGAGTCTAATGATCTTTGGACTAATGTGTTTAGGAGTAAATATCTTCAAAATCAAAACTTATCATATTGGCTACTTATGAAAAATGCTTCTCATTTTTTAATAAGTCTTATGAAAGCTAAATTTGTTTTAATTAAGGGGGTACAATAGAATTTAGGTCATGAAAGATTAATTAATAATCTGTTGGCCAATTGATGGTGTAATAACGGGCCACTAATCAACAAAATTAATGCTGATATTTATCGAGTTAACACTTCTATTAAAGTATTTGGTGTTGTTATTTTGAAAATGAAACATTTGATTCATAGCTCATTTTCTTGATTCATCTCATGATGGGAAGTGAACTTATGTGTAGACCTTTTGGCAAATGAAGATCACAAACATGATGATTTACAACTCTGGGAATGCGCTCAAGGAAATATTGCAAAGCAAGCTTACACATGAAAGTATAAGAGGGGTGAATTGTAGCCAATTTAAAATCTTGGTCGACTAAGTATGTGTTTAGTCGACTAGTTTTGCACAGTAAACAACTTCAGTGAGAATGAAATAAATTGACAAAAAAGTAAAGGAGGCGCAACAGTTTTTATACTGGTTCAGTACCGGTGTGGTACCTACGTCCAGTTCCCTTAGGTCACAAGGGTTCTCTTAGATCTTTGATAAAGGATTACAAATGTGATGGTTTTAGTTCGTTCACCATCGACGATTTTCAGCAGCAATGATCTTTTGTAACGTTGAAACAACTCTCTTTTGTGTTCTAACTCTTCCTATCTTTTGTTACACTTGTAGACTCAAGAATACAGTGTTTGTACTAAGAACTAGAAAGGCTTAGAAAACAGTTTGCATAGTTGTGTGACTTCTGAGTTCTTCTGTTTCTTCCTTTATAGCCTTTTTGAGTCTTCTGCTTCCTTGTCTTCTGGGATAGTATTGCAGCAATTCTAGGAGTCCTTTCCTTGTGAGGCATATATATCTAAAAGAATGACCCAAGGGTTGCCTCGTGAATCCAGCTTAGAATGATAGCTAGATTCATCATTATTCCTTACGAATTGCCTCCTTCAATCTTCCTTGATTTTAGACAGTCTTGGTTGATTGCTTTCTTCATTCCAATTTTGGCGGATTGCTTTCTTCTTGACCTTCTGCAGAATCTTCATTCCAAATTGATTGTCGTCCGTGATTGATAGAATATTGGTCAATCTTGATTGATTCCCTTCTTCTTAGGCTTGATTGATGTACTTTCCAATTCAGGTTATCTAGGCGTTGAGTAGATCATCCTCCCCATTAGCAAAGCTGTTATTTACCAGAATGGGAACCTGCATACAAGAATATATTATTAGTCAAAGCTTCTTTAGGGTTATTGATCATTATTAAAATTCTAAACTTAACAATCTCCCTCTTTTTGATGATGACAATAATCTTAAAAAGAGTTTGACTAATTTATGGATTCTTCCCTTTTTCAAGTGTGCTCTCCCCTGTCTTCAAGCTGGGTTCTTGTTTGTTGTCTTGTACACTTGAATACCTGAACCTGACCTGTATTCTTTTCTTCTCCCCCTTTGGCATCAATCAAAAAGGACAAGAGAAGCAATACGCAATAATACTTCTAACTAGGCAGGCAAAAGTTATTTACAACTAAGCAGTTATACAGAGCATAGTCGACTGACATGCTCATCCAAGACACAACCAAAATACACAACCAAAAGAGATAGTCTTAAACCACCACATAAAATAGAAAAATTAAAAAGATTGTCTTAAGCATCCCAATCATTCAATTCCTTCCAAGGAAGTACTTCAGGGTGTT